CTTCCCTTCCCTTCCCTTCCCTTCCTCCCACTGCCCATGCAAGAAACTTGTCCCAACCCACACACAGGAGCTCAAAAAACGTAAAAGCGGGGGGATGAGGGTGGGGAAGCTGCTTCACAAGCCCTGAAGCAGCTCGGGCTTGCTCTGTTGCTCTCAGCAGCTCCCATTGCTCCCACATCTCCCTTGTGCCGCGTGGGGGATGGCCGGATGGGATTTTGGGGGCAGTTGTTCTTTAGGCGGGGGAGGGGGCTGCTGCCGTCCAGGGGGTGCTGTCCAGGTGGAATCGAGGTTTCTCACCCGTCCCTTTCCTCTCCTCCCCAGATCCGAACGCGGTGATCCCGGAGCAGCTGACGACGAGTCGGCCAAGCAAGGAGTCCGACAACACCATGAAAATCGTCACGCAGAGCCCACGCAGCAAGGTCCCCGCGGTGGAGGAGCCCGGCAAGCCGGGTGGGTTTTGCTGGCGAGACCCCAGGGGAGGGATGGGGACTGTGCCGGCAGAGCAGCTCTGAGCCAGGCTTGTTGCATGGATCCTGGGGATACCGGGCGCTCCGGAGCAAGGATCCAGATGGGATTCCCGTAAGCGTTGTGCCTGTCTCTGCCTTCCCCTGCTCGCAGCATCTCCTCGCCCCAGCCCTGTGCTTTCTGGCCGGGGACCGCTCGGGGCCTGGCGCAGGCAGCCAGGCTGCGGTGTGGAGCGGCTCAGGTTTGTTTTCCCAGCTCCGGTATGTCCTGGCAGGAGCTTTGCAGGGAAGTGCTGTTTCAGCACTCTCCTCCTCCTCCTCACTGCCCATCGGTTCCTCGCAGTACATCTGAGAGGGCTTGAAGGAGGTGAGGTCCTCGGGTTTTTGAGCTGAGCCCTTTGAAGGTGGTTTCCTGAGTTCCTGACCCTGCTGAGAGAAAAGTGAAATCAGATGAAGTGGGGAAGAGTTGCTCTTTTCTTCTCGCCCGCTATGGCCAGCCAAGCGCTCTCCCCTCGGGGGGCTGGGGCTGCCCCGGC